AATTACAATACATAGTTTTCTCAAAATTAGTTTTTTCTCCTACACTGAGCTATAAATCTCCTCTTCAGCAGCTCTTACACACACCAAACTTTACATTTTTATTCCTGTTTATATCCTGAAGGTTTTTACAGAGGGATTTGTTCATATATAATTTGCTTGATTATATACAACATTTTATTCCCCCCAAAATTGTGAAAATATATTGTTTTCTGGCTGTATTTTCTGAATTACGGAGTGACAAAAATTCCCTCTGTAAAAACTTTTGCCTCTAATATGTAAAAAAAAAAACAAGAATTTTGAAACTGACTTCAGTGTTCAGATGTTTGTACTAGAAATGTATTAGCGCATATTTCATTAAATAATGCCTCATTTGCATATTTAAACATAACATTTTACAAAACTTGCAATACAAAAAATGTTTGCAATTATCAAAGTAATCAATCAACTGGGTAAGTAAGGTGATAATTAGTAGTACATTTTTTTACCCTATTCACCTGCAGTGTCTTACCTAAATATTAACAATTTTGTATCTTTTTTTACGTTTGATAGACGTACCTTGTACAGCTCGTCTTCACCGGCCTGAGGAAACTTCTCCTGCAGGGCATCTCTCAGAACTTTAGCAGTGTAACGCAAACCGTACCTGATTGAGACACACAGAGGTATATTATATAACACCACATAACGAGTGAGAGAACACGTTTAACCATCCTGACACGTACACTGAAATAAGCCTGGCTTATTTGATAACCTTGTTTTATGGACTCAAAGTGAGTGGAATCTGCCATAAGTGTGTGTTTATGTGGCTCACGCACCTCTTCTGTCCCGTCTGGCTCTCGGTCTGGTTGATCCAGCTCTTGTAGATCTCCAGGGGGTCGGTTCGGATGTTGAGGCTCCGGTCCTGAAGCACGTCTCTGATGGAGGGCCCCAGGATGTCCTTCAGTGCGTTCTGACCGCGAGCGTGACGGTAGAAACTCACCAGCATCTTGATGACGGTGGGACTTCCTGTGACCACTTCCTGCGGCCGGTCCACCTTCACTCTGCAGTCATTCACATGCACCAATAAACACGCTTGACTGAATCACTGAATGAAAGAATCAGAGCTTTCGACTCCATTTCAATGCAGAACAAATCACAAAAGGACCAGCTTAAAGGAAGCATTGTGAATTAGGGATGGGATGATATCAAAATCTCACGATACGATAACATTGCGATATGAAGTCCACAAATGCGCTATTTATTGAAGAATTGGGAAAAAATTAAAATTTTGTACATTTTAAAGTTAATTTTTTTCTATCTAATGCACTTTGAGAGTTCAAAATTAAGAGCTGCAACACAAGTTCTTAACTAAGAAAACTTAAGTCAGTGAATTGACTTGTAGCTTAACTTTAAAGGAGACTCAACCCTCTTTTTATTTGTGATATACGGTCTCAGTCTAAATTACATTCACACTGGGATTTTAGGAAGCCAAACAAATTAGAATAGAATAATAATAATAACAGTGACAGCCATATATTGTAAAACAGTTGCTAACACAACATGCTTACAAAAACAAAAACACGTCTCACTACAAATCTAGAGAAACGCTGTAATCATCTGCCGCTGAAATAAAGCATAACTGGTGTCTGCTGCGTTCCCAAACGAGCGCTAAACTCACAGAAGATTAAATAAAGGAGTGGACTGCATTCATTCAGTGTGAACGAGTCGTTCTGAGACGCAGAAAACACCGGATCACGAGCTGATCGTCTGAACCAAGTGTGCGCTTCGCTTTAAAACAGACTTGATGAAGAGATGAAGCATATTGTGCTTTCGGTTTGAGTTCGTCTGATACTGTGCCAAAGCATAATGACCCAAAACACAACTTTAAACACCTTTTATGCCTTTTAGAATAAAAAGTTAAAAACTACACTTTTTGCCCAAAAGACCTATCGTTTCATATTGTCATGCGACCGCGATAATATCGAGACAGTTTTGATATCGCGATATTGATCATATCGTTAAATCCCTAATATCTTAAGTGTGTTTACTATTGTTCTTCTGCATTATTGACACACTGTTTTCCTGTTTGATACTGTAAAGCTGCTTTGACACAATCTGTATTGTTAAAAGCGCTTGATAAATAAAGGTGACTTGACTTAAGACCTGAGATGAGAAACGTTCTGTAATACGCCCCAGATTTGAAAGATAAAGAACAGCATCCTGCACACCTCTACCTTCTCTGCAGGTAAAGTGTGATGTGTGAAGGCTGGTCTCAGTCCATCTGCTTAAGCGCTTGTCTCTGTCTGCAGACGCTGGCTCCGGCTCCGGCTCCGCAGAAGCGCCGCTTCACGGAGGAGGTGCCAGACGAGACGGACCGCGGCCTGCTGGGATACCAGGTGAGCTCTGGCACACGCCGGACGCTGCGCTCATCACCGTCTGCCTTTACTGTGTTTCTGCAGGTGCGTGAGGTCAGCGGCCTGTTGCCATGGTGACAGCAGTTTGTGGGCGGAGCCTGTAATGAAGTGACCTCTGATCTCTGGGGTCATGAGTACCTGAAGTGTTTGTTGGCAGTTTATTTGTAATGAATGACAGCAGATAAAAGCTCAAACCCTAGTGAGCCGCCTAACTAGACAGCAGCATTGAGTAAAAGAGACACTCTCAGAACTGACAGTAGTATTAATATACTATTAATCTAGCATGTGTCCTAATCAGTGAGACACTAGTTTTATTAATCAGAGTGTCTATTTATATTATTATTATTTGCTTTTTTTTAACATAGTGTACATAGAATCTATAGCTATTTGCACTTAGTGTAAATAGCTGCTGCCTTTATTAATATCTATATGTAATGTTTTATTGTTGTTGTTGTTTTTTTTAGTTGAATTGGTCTGTGCTGTTAGCATACAGCAGCTCACTAGGGTTCCTGCAGTGAATGATGGGAGCTGCTCATGTGTTTGACTGTAAATGTGATTTTCCTCTTCTGTGTCAGTGTGAGTTGTGTGTATGTGTGAGAGATGATGA